GAGGGTCTCCGTAATCAGCTGGGGAAGCATTGCATAGTTCCACAATTTTTAAGGCATATTTTCAAATTTCTTAGCCAACTTTTAGTAATAACGCGACTTTTTTGGTTGTCGTGTGTACTAGCTCATGGATCTGATGTCTTGGAGCACCCAAAAAAAATATCTTGAAAAAACTTTATGAAAACCTCCGTGATGAGTTGGGAAAACATTGTGTCCTACAATTTTTTAAAGCATATTTTTGCATTTACGAGCCAACTATTTGGAATTACACGACTTTCTTAGTTTTTTTTTGTGTACTAGCCCATGGATCTAGATCCTTGGAGCACCCAAAATAAAATTCTGAATTTTTTTTTTATGAGGACTTTCGTAATGAATTGGGGAAGCATTATGTATAGTCCCACAATTTTTAAGGCATATTTTTGCATTTACGAGCCAACTTGTATGAATTACGTGACTCTTAGTTTTTTCGTGTATATAAGCCCATGAATCTGGCGCCTTGGAGCACCCAAAAAAATTTTATGAGGTCCTTCGTAATGACTTGGGGAAGCATTGTGTATAGTCTCACCATTTCTTAAGGCATTTTTCGCATTTACGTGCAACAATTTAGAAATTATGCGACTTTCTTTGTTTCGTGTGTGTTAGCCCATGTTTCTAGCGCCTTAGAGCACCTAAAAAAAAAAATTTGAAAACATTTTATGAGGACCTTCGTCATGAGTTTGGAAAACATTGTGTATAGTCCCACCATTTTAAGACATATTATTGCATTTACGAGCCAATATTTAGAAATTACGTGTCTATCTTGATTTTTCGTATGTATTAGTCCATGGCTCTGGCGCCTAGGACCATCCAAAAAGACTTTTTGGAAAAAATTTATGAGGACCTCCGTAATTAGTTGGGGAAACATTATGTATAGTCTCACTACGTTTTAAGGCATATTTACGCATTTACAAGCCAACTTTTTGAAATTACGCGATTTTTTTGGTTTTCATGTGTATCAGCCCATGGATTGAGCGCCTTAGTTCACCCGAATTTTTTTTTTGAAAAAAACTCTATGGGGACCTCTGTAATGAGTTGGGGAAGCATTGCGTATAGTCCCACAATTTTTTAAGACATATTTTTGTATTTACGCACCAACTTTTGAAAATTACACGATTTTTTTTATTGTTCGTGTGTATTAACCTATGGATCAGGCGCCTTAGAGCAAATAATTTTTTTTAAAGAAAAACTATGAGGACATCCGTAATGAGTTGGGGAAGCATTGTGCATAGTCGCACCATTTTTTAGGCATATATTTGCATTTACGAATCAACTTTTAGAAATTACGCAATTTTCTTAGTTTTTCGTGTGTATTAGCCCATGGATCTGGTGACTTGGATCACCCAAAAAAAATTCTGAATTTTTTTTTATGAGGACCTCCTTAATGAGTTGGGGAAGCATTGTGTATAATCCTATCATTTTTTAAAGGCATATTTTCAAATTTACGAGACATTCTTAGTTATTTCACGACTTTTTTTATTTTCATGTGTATTAGCCCATTGATCTAGCGTCTTGGAGCACCCAAAAAATATTTACGAAAAAACTTTATGAGGACCTCTGTAATGAGTTGGGGAAGCATTGCGTATAGTTTCACCATTTTTTGAAAGTATATTTTCGCATTTACAAGCCAACTTTTATGAATTACGCGACTTTCTTGGATTTTCGTGTGTATTAGCCCATATTTTTCGTGCTTTGGAGCACCTAAATTATTTTTTGAAAAAACTTTATGAGGACTGTCGTAATGAGTTGGGGAAGCATTGCATATAGTCCGACCCTTTTTTAATGCATATTTTCGAATTTACGGGTCAATTTTCAGGAATTACGCGACTTTTTTTTATCTTTCGTGTGTATTAGCTCATGGATTTTGGGTCATTAAGCACTTAAAAATAATTCTGGAAAAACATTATGAGAATCTCTGTAATGAGTTGAAGAAATATTGTGTAGTCCCACCATTTTTTAAGGCATATTTTTACATTTATGAGCCAAATTTTAGGAATTACGCAACCTTTGATTTTTCGTGTGTATTAGCTCATGGATCTGGCGCCTTGGAGCACCCAAAACATTTTTCTGAAAAACTTTGTGATGATCTTTACAATGAGTTAGGGAAGCATTGCGTATAGTCCCACCATTTTTATGCCATATTTTCACATTTACAAGTCAACTTTTAGGAATTACGCAACTTTCGTAGTTTTTCGTGTATATTAGCTCATGGATCTGGAACTTTGGAGCACTCAAAAAATTATGAAAAAACGTTATGAGGACTTATGTAATGAGTTGGGAAAGCATTGATTATAGTCCCATCATTTTTAATGCATATTTTTGCATTTACGAGCCAATTTTTAGTAATTATGCGACATTCTTGATTTTCGTGTGTATTAATCCATGGATATATTGCCTTGGAGCACCCAAAAGAAACTTCTTTAAAAAATTTATGAGGACCGTCGTAGTGAGCTAGGGAAACATTGCGTATAGTTCCCCCATTTTATCAAGGAATATTTTTGCATTTACAAGCCAACTTTTAGGAATTACGCGACTTTCTTGGTTTTTCGTGTGTATTACTATTAGCCCATGGATTATGCGCCTTGGAGCACACCAAAAAAAAAATTCTAAAAAAACTTTAGAAAGACCTCCATAATGAGTTGGGGAAACATTGTTGTATAGTCCCACCATTTATTTAAGGCATATTTTCGCATTTACGAATCAACTTTTAGGATTTATGAGACTTTCTTGATTTTTCGTAAGTATTGGCCATGGATCTAGAGCCTTGAAGCAACTAAACTTTTTTCTGAAAAAACTTTATGAGGATCTGTGTAATGAGTTAGGGAAGTATCCTATAGTCATGCCATTTTTTATGACATATTTTTGCATTTATGAGCCAACTTTTAGAAATTATCTGACTTTTTGTCTTGTGTTAGCTCATGGATCTGGTGCCTTGGAGCACGAAAAAAATTCTGAAAAAACTTTATAAGGACTTCTGTAATGAGTTGGGGAAGTATTGCGTATAGTCCCACCATTTTTAAGGCATATTTTTGTATTTGCGAGCCAACTTTTAGGAATTACACGACTTTCTTAATTTTTCGTGTGTATTAGCCCATGAATCTGGCTCCTTAAGGCGCTAAAAAAAATTGAAAAATCTTTATGAAGACCTCCATAATGAGTTGGGAAAGCATTGCATATAGACCCACTATTTTTAAGGCATATTTTCACATTTACAAGCAATCTTTTAGAAATTACGCGACTTTCTTTGTTTTCGTGTGTATTAGCTCATGGTTCTGGAGCCTTGGAACACCCAAAAAATATTCAAAAAAAAAATTATGATGACCTATGTAATGAGTTAGAGAAGCATTGTATATAGTCCCACCATTTTTAAGGCATATTTTCACATTTACGAGCCAACTTTTAGAAATTATACGACTTTCTTAAATTTTCGTGTGTATTTAGCCAATTGATCTGGCGCCTTGGAGCACTAAAAAATAATTCTTAAAAAAATTTATGAGCACCTCCATAATGAGTTAGGGAAGCATTGTGTATAATCTTACCATTTTTTAAGGTATATTTTCACATTTACAAGCCAACTTTTAGGAATTACGCGACTTTCGTTATTTTTCGTGTGTATTAGCTCATGGATCTAGTACCTTGGAGCACCCAAAAAAAAATTCTAAAAATCATTTATGAGGACTTTTGTAATGAGTTGGGGAAGCATAGCGTATAGTCCCACCATTTTTTAAGGTATATTTTTGTATTTACGAGCCAAATTTTAGAAATTACGCGACTTTCTTAATTTTTCGTGTGTATTAACCCATGGATCTGGCGCTTGGAGTACCAAAAGAGTATTCTGAAAAAACTTTATGAGGACCTCTGTGATTAGTTGAGGAAGCATTGTGTATAGTCCCACTATTTTTTAAGGCATATTTTCTCATTTATGACCTAACTTTTAAGAATTACGCGATTTTCCTGGTTTTTCGTTTGCATTAGTCTATGGATCTAGCGCCTTGGAGCACCCAAAAAAAAATTCTGAAAAAACTTTATGAGGACCTTCTTAATGAGTTGGGGAAGTATTGTGTATATTCTCACCATTTTTTAAGGTATATTTTCAGATTTACGAGCCAACTTTTAGGAATTACGCAACTTTTTTATTTTTCGTGTGTATTAGCTCATGAATTTGGCACCTTGGAGCACCCAATAAAATTTCTAAAAATACTTTATAAGGACCTCTGTAGTGAGTTGGGGAAGCATTGCGTATAGTCCGACCATTTATAAGGCATATTTTCGCATTTACGAGCCAACTTTTAGAATTTACGCAACTTTCTTGGTTTTTCGTATGTATTAGCCCATAGTCCCACGATTTTTAAGGCATATGCTTGAACCATCACAGTCTCGCTTCCTGCATCGTGTCCTTCATTAAGACTACTCCTATCTTATTTCGGATATCTTCATTCTTAATCGAATCTCTTATAGTATTCCGACATATCCACCACAACATTCTCATTTCCGCAATTTTAATCTTGTGAACGTAAGAGTTCTTGACTAGCCAACACTCCGCCCTATACTCTAACCACCACTCTGCAGAACTTGTCTTTGAGTTTTGATGGCATCTTCTCATCACACAATACTTCAGATACAAACCTACATTTAATCCACTCTGCATCAATACGATGTGTGACATTATCATCACTTTGTCCATTCCTTGAATAATAGACCCAAGATACTTGATCTTCCTTTCTTTTGAATGACATGTGCATCAAACTTCACTTCTGCTCCACCCTTATATCATACCAATAAATTAAAGCACTTCAATTTAAAATCTCAAGGTAAAAGTGTTTACAAACTCATAAATCCTAATTGTGAAAGAATGTTGTAAAAGAAAAACCCTTTGTTAATTACCATCTAATAAGTCATATAGTTCATCCATCTAATAAGTCATATATATAATGCATAATCTTTGATTTGAAAAGAAAAAAAAATGGTACCAAAAGGTTCATCTTTATTGCTAAGAACTATGTTTTTCCATATGGCCTAAACACAATTGCAAAAAGAAAAACCAATACTCTAGTGAAGTAGCTTCAACTACCCTGCACAGACTTCATATCATACCCTTAAAGTTTCTTAACATAAATTTATGGCAAATTTAATGATCAGAAAGTAATATGGCATTGCCTGGACACAAGTGCATTCATATCTTAATCTCTTTACCAAAAATCCAGCTGAAAGGAACGGGACTTCGCTGCTTGGCCCTTGCCTGTGCTCTCTCCTCCAATTTTCTAATCCGCGGAGCCAGTCCACATACATAATCTTGTGCTCTGCGTCCTTCACTGGAAAGACCAGTTAATTTTTCCACTTCCCATCTTCCCACCAGGAATTCCAGAATATCTGCATAGTCCTTGGCAGTGTATACACCAAGCCGTTGAGCTACAGCAGAGAAGCGTTCAAAGAGGTTGTCATCTCTGCCATCATACATCAGATGAGCGGGCATTGAGATTTTTTTCCTCATCATGTCACCAATAGCCAATATGGCACCATCAGGATCAACCTCGAGTAGCTTCTCAACGATCTTGGTATATGCAGTTTCATGGCGCTTCTCGTCTGCAGCAATTGAACCACATATTTGTGCTAGTTTCATATCTCCATGCTCCTTAGCGAGCCTAGCTGTGTTTCCATGTGAAACAAAGGTAGCCCTTTCTTGGAAAGAAGTGTAGACGAAACCTAGATAGGGGTTGTTTTCCGTGCGAGGATCCTGGAAATATAAAGTGCATGGAAGTACAAACCAAATTGAGCAAAGATGATTATATAACAGTTCAATCTCAAGATTTCTGTTTTCATGGAATGAACAGTTATAAACATGTAAGCTGTAGCTAATGTAACCACAAAATGTGGCACCAAAGCTATAGTACACTATAGTTGCATTTCAACTCTATAGAGAGTACACAAGGGATACAATGGGCTAGGTAAGCAAAACTACAACCTGACAGATTACTTCTTAAAATTTCAAATGTGTCACCATATTTAGATTGCTAGCAAGTAGTCAATGAGGTTGAAGGAAATATCATATACAAGAAAATGAAGAACTAAAGTATACTGAACTACATAAAGAGTCCAATAAAAAAGGCGTAACTCAATCTAGCAATTAATGAAACTTAGCAGCATCAGGTATTACATTTTTTTTTACTTCTATCCCCTCTCCCAGGAAAACGAGAAAGGCTTGATAATTGAGAGCTTAGCATGCACATCATATATGGTGTGCATGCAAAATATAGGATCAGGAGCTTTTCATAATTAGACATCTGAACTAACCATATAAACCAACTCTGGAGAAAAATCAGAAAGCTTATGAAAGCATGGGAGGTAGATACCACACACAGTATAACACTTGCTTAAAGCTGCACTGCTTATTATAAACATCAGCATTCCTATTTTTTAGCATGTAAATGATTTGACTCCATATGAAACCTTTGGAATTTAATCCTGTAAGCTTATACTAACAAATATGATAATTGATAGCATAAGGTCTGGTAAAAATCTTACCATCCCAGAACCAATTAGGTACTGGATTGTCTTTTCAATTTGCTTCATATCAACTCTTCCAGAAAGATAAAGATATTTGTTGAGAAGATCACCATGCCTATTTTCCTCCGCTGTCCATGCCCTAGTCCAAATAGCCCAGGGAGTGAGGCTGGCACCAGTTTCATCACGAACACCATCCAGGGTGTTTATCATGGTCTGATAAGTTGGAAGGGCCTCCTCTGTGATCATATCCCCAATTAATACAACAAAGTAGTCGTCAGGAATTTCCTTACACCTTTCCCTTAGCTCCTTGACCTGCTCATCAAACCCCTCGGAAGCAGGATCAGGAAGAAAATCAGTAGGCTGCCAACACTTCTCGACGGGTTTTAGGTGCACCAAGAGATTCTGTGCAGCCCAATCGTGCAGAGAATCAAAAACTTCAATCTTTTCTGGTGGCATGGAATGGGTTACTTGAACATGCACCTCTTGTGGAGGAGTGAATGCCTTCTTCACACTTCCAACTTCCCTGTAATTAGCAGAAGCAGACTTAGTTTCAAAACTGTTCACTTTGAAGACCTCATGAGCTATAACTTAAAAATAACAGTTAAGGAGGAAGACAAACTTAAAGCATAAAAAGGTATCCCTGACAAGACAATTTCCCAACCTTTATTCTTCCCCTTGTTCATACATTTATGATGTGGTGCTAACTACAGAGCAAGTGTCGTCAAAGTTCCATTCATAGAGAAAGGATTCTTTGAAATCAAGTTTTCCCTCACAAAGAAACATCTCACAGAGATAGTGTCATAATACTGCAGTGAGCAGATTTTGACAGGAAAAATGATGGAAGACAGGACCAATAATTTATTATAAAATTTATTTTCCAAGATAAACAACAGGGGCATATATTTGTAGAAAGAGAGAAATATATGACCTGAAAGACTGAGCCTATATATTTAGTCCATCGAAACATTGGAAGACTGAGTCTAGATATCTGAAATATTAATTGTTTGGTGAAGTATGCAATCCTATATCACCAAACAAGATTAACCATCACTCAAACAATAGAACTAAGCACAATCACCTATAAACTGTATTAGTTTATACTTTATACAAGTATGCAGAAACTAAAGCAATAGAAATATACAAAATTTAAGTTAGCTTTTAACAAACAGAAGTTATAAGTGCCAACTGCCAACCAATTCCATAACAATCAAAGAAGCTGAGCAATACCAAACAGCTACACCTACTGGCAAACAAGAAAAGAACAGTGCACATAACTATAATTGGAAACATTGACTTTAAGCAAAAAAATTGACAATTAAATACAGAGCACCATGGCAAGACCTAATTCTCAACCACAGTTGGTAAAATGTACAATTCCTGGACACCCCCACCCCAAAAAAAAGAACACCAAATAGGACTTCCCTTTAGGACCTTTCTGAATAGATATCATTTAAACAAAAGAAAAAGACAAGCACTACATGCATCACAACTAGTAAACCAACAAAATTTAAAGCAAAACTAAACTTAAGGAAGAATGTTATCAAAAACCAGGAAATTCCTAGAAATCAACGATGCGATGAATAATTAGACGAAAAGAAAAGAAGACAGATAGCAAGATAAACACCATGTAACAAACTAAGCAACACATAAAGCAGAACAAGACACCATTTCCCAATTTAGAAAAAAGGTAAAAATTTTATCTTAAATATCTCTTGATAAGATCTTCCTTAACACCAACAACTACCACCATCCACCAATCCAATCTATAGATACAAGAAAACCAAAATTACAATCACAAACACACACCAGAAGCATGCAGTTTGGCAGAGAGCAATCAAAAAATCCTTATAAAATCATTTTCCATGATACAAACTCTTTTCCTTCATATGAAAATGCACCCAGTCTGGCTAAAAATCAAGCCATAAACACTAGTTACTTGAAACAACAAAACAATAATAAGCCAAAACGAAACCAACTCATTTCCCACCGAATCAAAACAAGGGGGAAACAAACCACATTGGGAGATACCCATTTTCCATGATACAAATATTTTTTCAAATTCAAATGAAATGCACCCAGTATATCTCTATCAGTGCATAAACTAAAGCCTTGAAACAAGAGAACATAAATGAAACTAAATCGAAACTGATCCACTTCCCATATGATCAAAAGAAGATGAAACAATTAAACAAAAACCAAATGGAGAGATACCCATTTCCCATGATACAAACATTTTTCAAAATTCAAAATTGAAACAAACCCAATGTAGCTAAAACTCAAATCACATCACAAATCAAAAGAATGAAAAACAAACCACATTGAGAGATACCCATTCTCTCCAAATTCAAATGAAATGCACCCAGTGTAGCTAACAATCAAGTCTAAAAGCCTTGAAACAACAAAACACAAATGAAACAAAACGAAACCGACAAACACCCCACATTGAGAGATACCCATTTCATCAAATTCAAAACTGAAACACACCCAATGTAGCTAAAACTCAAATCACACAAACAAAACCAATAAACCAAAACCGACCCACTTCCCCAAAAATAAAAAAAATGGAAAACAAACCACATTGAGCGACACCCATCAGCTCAAAACTGAAAACAAAGAAGCAAAAAATACTCACACAGAAGGTCGATGAATGGTTGAAGCCATGAAAACTCGCTGAGATCTGGCTGAAGAACAAGGAAATGGTAACATTTTGTGAGATTTTAACGACACCCCATTGACATTCAGTGCCATTGTTGATGCTCTGTTTTTCACCTCGACTATTTCGCCTGAGCAATTTCGTTGTGATCACTGTACACTAGTTGAGTTAAAGGTGGAGAGAGAGAAACGGAACAAATAGCCAAATATATAAGCCTTATAAGTCGACAAAACCCAACTGGAAATGAAACTAAATTAACCTTCAACTTAAGGAAAATTACTCAAATGCCATTTTTGTCATTTCGGGGTTCGTATTAGAGATCCGACTAATCAAGATTTACATCCGCATAAAAATGATTTCTCATGTGATAACTCAATTAATAGATTTTTTTTCTTGATTTCAATTTTTATTAACCTGCCAAGACAATAGTTGTTAGTTGAGTGATTATCTGAGAACTCAACCGATATAATTAAGGAGAATTATTTTCTATTAGATACCAAAATCTTTTTACTACCTCTGTTTTAATTTGTTTTATCATATTTTGACTTAGCACGATGTTTGAGAAAGTAAAAGAGATTAAAATATATCAATATTTTTTAATCTTGTAGTTTTAAATATATAACATAGAAAATTGAAATTAAAAAGTTGCTAAAAAGGAAAAGAGACATTTTTTTAGAACATGCTAAAAATAAAAGTAAGATAAACAAATTAAAAAGAGGATTAATACCTAAGAGTTAAGGCTTTCTGGTTCGTTTGGCTTTGTTTTTTAGTTTATAATTCGGTACTTGATATCCACATTAAAGTTTTGATTATAATTCATACGCTAATCATATAAGACATAAGTAAGGAAAAACATTTCCTATCAAAAAATTTATATATGTTTAAGGTTTTTTTATTATTCTAACTATGTTTTTCAATATTTATATTGAAATCTGATAAATAATTAAGAACAAATGCTTCTAATCGAGAAAAAATTACTCTAAATTCAAATCTGAAATCTCTAATTAAATAATTATCACAATTCTTAGTGATCATTGTGTGTACGTAAGAGAGTGCATACTTTTGTTGTTTTTTTGCTAACAAATAGGTGTAAGTCTCGTTGCTTGGAAATACTCGGTGTTGACCACACTGAAAAACACGAAAGCATACGTAACGCTAGTTGGCAAATTTATTTTATTTATTTATTAATTAATATATAAATCTTTTTTAACTTTTGACAAAACCGGGATTCTAAACTAAACAATTTAATAACCGTGGGTATTATATAAAGTCAATACACTTAGGTGGTTTTATTATTTTTGTATTATTATTGACTAACTAATTTTGTATGGTGGTTAAAAACAATTTTTTTTACAAAAATCTTTTTCAAATCAAAGTAGTTCAGATTTTTCTCTCATTGTGTATCACTTAATTATTAAATTATTTTTTAAACTAATAGTGCTTCTAATCTTAATGTAGTATTGTGGTATCAAATTCATTTGAACTCAATGTTTCTAATATTTTTAATATGAATTGTTAATTTTTTGTAATCAATATCAACTTAAATTAATTATCTATTATCTCACATGCATATAAATAAAGAATAAACAAAAAATTTAACTTCACAATTGATTGATTAATTATATACTCCGATAAGGCCTCATTCAAGAGATAACACTCCTTACCAAGACTTCTAATGAACCATCCAAACAAGTTTTTAGATACTAATAGGATATGATTATCAATTGTAGAGTTTCTTTTCTTTTTCATTTTGTACATGTAGATTTGTTCAGTAATTTAAAGCAATAAAACATCAAACTGATAAATAGAAACCAAGATCAAACAAACAGGATACACAAGAACAGAAATTCATAACCATGTGATACAGGATTACTAGGTGATATATACATACACAGTAAAGTCAATTAAGAAAACACATTCTAGTCATCATCTTCCTTTATGAAGGATATTTGATTTTCTCAAATTAGAAAATTTGACCAGTATATGAAAGTTACAAAGCCTGGTGTACATGAGCAGGCATCTATTATATCGAAAATAAGAAAGACTTGAGAACTAAAGGGCCAAAAAGATTTAACAGAGTCGAGATTCTCATTCATGGTTGTATGTGCAGTCTTGTTGTGGCTGGATAGAAACTGAAGAAGAAGTCTTCTGGCATGGTTGTGGGGAAGTTTCATGCAGATTGATGGTCTTTCCAGAAGGTGGCAAACATCTCTTGGAAAAGAATGTAGCAATGCTCTTTGTCCTGCTAACTTTTTCTGTAAATAATCAAAAGTTAGCAGAATCCAAAAGGTAGAAATAAGTGCAATAGTACATGAGATGCTCATACCAGGTGATATTGATAATCCAAGGTTCACAAGAACATCCTTTCTAACCTGCAAAAACCAGAAAAATGCAGTATGAGTAAAATCTTCCTGGATTGGGACAATAACCCACAACAAGAAATGAAACTATTCAAAGAAAATAACATGAATCTGCTGCTTAGAAAACTCAGACTAATAAATCAGATAAGACTAATGTAGAAAGAGGGGCATGACACAAAAGAAAACTATAACAGGACACCAATGGACTACCAAAGAACAAAGCTGAGAGATCTGTTTACACTTCTAATTTGTGTATGAGAAACTAGAACGGTTTACTAGCTTTGCCATAAACTTTCATGGACTGTACTGCTTCTGCAGTCAATCCGTAAGAGTAAGGACTGCTATCATCTGGTACACAATATTGGATGTGATTATTTATGGATTATCCTCTACAAACTGTATCTTTTGCCAAATCTTATATACCCTTCAGATTGCAGAGGTCTACTTCATGTTAAATAAATTTCATTCTCAAAATTCATTGACTATCCAGACTGAGAAAAGAGATATGTCGAAAATCACCTGCCATCTACCATCAATAAACTCTGCAATCTCCCGCACCTTGTTTTTCAGTTGGGACTTCGAAATACTTGGGAATTTAAGTTGTAAAGACTCTACCACCTTGTTTATACCATGTGAGCATGACTGAATAACAGATACCTGAAGGAAAATAATAACATTAACTCTTGTAAGCAAGAAATCAACACTGGGTTGGTAAGAGAAACCATTCCACAAAAAGAGGGGGAAATGTTGATAAAAGAAAGGTAAAACTTACAACTTGAGGTAAATCTGAGTCAGCTAGAGCAGCTGGAGATGCTATTTGAGGGGTAATTGCCTTGCTACCTGATGGGCAAGGCTCAGAATCCCCCTCAATCACATCATCACAAATGGATATTGGAATAGATGAATAGCCAGGAAATGAACAGATGGCCAATCCCCCCAGGCACATTTGTTCAACTTTCTCATTACCAGTCAGTTCATCAGCCAATAAGAAGGGAGCTTTCTCATGCATAAGATTTAATATAATAAGTGGCTTGTTTTTCCTAAGAGCTTGTTCAGTCAAGTTGTGAAGATATTTTTGCTGCCGAAGCAACACCGCAAACTCTTCACTCGGCCCTTCTTGTGCAGAACTGGACAAAATTGTAGACCCTTCTGCATCATGAGATTCCACTTTGTCAACTTGTACACCCTGCATGACCAAAGGTGAACAAGTTCAAAAGTACTCGCATAAAGAAATGTTAAGTTTTCTGTTACTTTTTTTTCCCTATTGGGAAGGGCCATATTCATGCACCTCGGCAGTCGAGTAAGAAAACCTATGTTTTTTGATTGACAAACAAGGATTTCAGCAGTCAAGAGTAAGAAAACCTATGTTTTATGATTGACAAACAAGGATTAATTAAACTTTTATCCATGGAAGACTCTTCATCTCTCTCGCAAAAAAAGGGAGGGGGGTACAGTTACTGCAGGTGCAACACTAAAAAACCACTGCTATATGTACAAAATGAAAAGGCCTTATTCATTACTAATGTTAATACCACAAATATACATCTCCTGCTGCAGTTAGAGGTTGCAGTGGTTGGCCTGCTTCCACTATATGTAAGTAGTGAAATAAAGTTCCCTCAAATACCACAAGAAAACCTCACTCCCAATTTTTAAAAAAGTATTCTCCATGTTGTGACATCTCAAATGCTTGACTTGATTCTTTAAATAACTATATGTCAAGAATACCAAGTAAGACTATGAACACAATTAAATTACAACATATAAAATGGAACAAAGGAGTATCACTTATTTTGTAGATTTGAAATACCACCAGTATGTTATGGCCAAAATCATCACAAGTTAACAACTAGCCAAGCCAAGGCTATTTAGCAAGATGGAAAATGTTCAGCCTCGTGCAGTCATTTATACTTGAATCATGAACTGACCTTAAGAATTCCATTCAACTACTAATCATGCAGCAAAGGAAATTGATCAAGAAAGTACTCATTGAAAATGATAGATGGTTCATAGATATCATAATTCAGGTAAGAACAGAAGATGCAAGCTATGCAGAAACAATTTTAAGGAAGAACATCACATCATCAGTGGGGTTAAGATTTTTAAATTACAGCTATTGCATGCTCACAGTATTGGCTGATCAGCAAAGTACAAACTGATCAACCAAGGAAATAAACAGTCTGTATTTCACAATGTATTATCAATACTGTGTGGAATATTCAGTAATTTCCGTATGAAAAGTGGGTATCGGAGACTGGCATACCTCTTCATCTGAGAGATACCCATCTGGCACCAAAAATCCATCTTCACTTTCGTCTTCATCTTCACCTCTTGAACATTCTTCCTCCAAGCATTCATTATCATCTTTATCACAATCTGACAGACTTTCACCAGGTTCCTCCTAATTTAATCAATTGTCAGTAATCATCATGATTCACAGATGTTACAGGCAATAATCAGAACATACCTCTTCCCATTCTTCGTCACTATCAACCTCATAATCCAAGTCTGGATCCATTGCAAGGGGGTGACGTGCTCCAACAACTTGGCTGATGTGAAAAGTCAAAAGTATCAGTAAAAGTGGAAAGGAATAGTAAACTGTCACAGCTTAATATGGAGATTGAATTTATTTAAATCACATCAAAAATAGCAGAAGCCAGTGCCATCTCCAAAAGAAAATACTCACTAAATCAGAAGAAAAGATTCATCTAGAAAACGTTTCATTACAACTGCTAGAAAGAAAAACTTATGATAAAAGAAGACCCAATAATACTCTAATATTTACCAGAATCACATACAGGCAAGAGCTGTGGGTTAACTTTCCTAGCACCAAAACCATTGTGTATGTTCTGTTTGTAAAAATACACACTCATACAGTGTGTAATCTTC